CTTTTGTCCAAGTTGAATTGTGTAATTGAAATGCTAACTGTAATTGAAAAAAAAAAATTGGAAATAATTCTACCCATTGTTATTTAATTGGAAAAAAAAAAGATTGTTACTTTTAATTGAAAAAAAAAATAAACAGACATGGGTAACAAAAAATAAAAAAGATTATTATTTATTTTAATTGAATTGTAATTTTTAACATGTACAGATAACAAAAAAAATATATGTAAAACTTATACACAATTAATTACATAGATGAACACACCTTCAGTCATTTATTAAACCTAACTCATTAATTTATTAAAATAATTTATAATTCTTTTGAAATTTAATATAATTTATAATTCTTTTGAAATTCATAATTTATTAATAATCATCAGTTTATACATATTTATAATTTATTTATAATCATCAATGTAGGCCTTCTTTTGATATTTATAGTGTGAAAAATACATATTTTTCTCCAATTATTTACTTGTCAATTAATTTTCTTTTTCAAATAAAAATTCGGAATTTACTTTTTTTCCAAATATGAAAATTTTGGCCATTACATTTGTTTGAATGTTTTTTTTGCAATAATTTGTTTGCAATTTATGATTTGATATTTTTTTTTGCAATAATTTGTTTTCAATATTTTTTTTTGGGAGTAAATTTTTTTGTCGGCAAATAATTTTTTTTTTTTGTAACTAATTTGTTTTCATTTTTTTTTTCAAGTAAAACAGATTATTATTTATTTTAATAATCTTTATTAAAATAAAGATTATTATTTTTTCAAGTAAAAAAGATTATTATTTATTTTAATACTCTTTATTAAAATAAAGATTATTATTTAAGATTATTATTAAAATAAAGATTATTATTTATTTGACAAAATCTTGTTTTCATTTACACAAGATTTTTATTTATTTTTTTCAAGTAAATTTTTTTCCCCAAATAAAAAAGATTATTATTTATTTTATTTTTTTCTGCAATTTATGATTTTATATTTTTTTTCGAACTATAATGTGTATGCTCTCATTATCATAAATAATAAATATTAAATTGAAATATATTTTTGGCTTGACCACAAACTGTTTTCTTTAGTTCATGTTTACAAAAAATGGAAAACATTTTGTCAAAATCTGTTAAAAATTAAATATGAATTTTTATGTTTTTCTACAAATAAAAAAAAATTAGCTTAAAAAATTATTAAATTTGTAAGAAAGGGCAGAGGCTTCATTTGAGCTGTGGTGTAAACCCAATCTGTATACTTTTGTTTGAAATAGTCAAAGGGTAAAATAGTAATTGTACCGTTGTTTGTAACCCTGCTGTTTGTAACCCAGCTGTACAGACACATGCACTGTTGAAGCTTTTTGGCTTATTTCATACACGAGGCTACAATGGGGGTGTTTGGTAGGGTTTTTTTTGAGTCAATT